CAAAAATATGACTATTTGTAGAACTGTAAAAACTCCAAAACAGTATACAAACATGCTAGAAATGCATTGCAAAATGAGGCTCAAAAGTGGCTATAACACAAAGTATGCGAAATATTCATCAAACAGCCAGAGACCCTTGATTAAACATGAAGAATGGGCCAAAATAAGACTATTTTTAGTACTGTAAAAAGGCCAAAAATGGAACCAAGATAGGCTGCCAAGTCATACAAGAATAGGGGACCAAAGATGGATACAAAGACAAGTGGTACATGGAGGTCCCAAACAAAGATGAGCCCTTCTTCAATATTTAAGAGGGGCTCAAAATAAGCCTACCTACAGTTCATGAGAAACTCCAAAATAGATCACACGTAGGTTAGAAAAAGCATGCAAAATATTGACATACAAAGAGGGTATTGAAGCAAGTGCAAGATGAAGGGCTCAAACAGGGTTGAGCCCTTAATGAGACATGAAAATGAGCTCAAAAAAATGACCTTTTCAGTTTTGGTCGGAGCTCAAAACAATAAGCATGTATGGCTTGCAAAAGATATAAGAAATGGGCCAAAAAGGGGAAATTGCAACTCACCCTTGAAGACCAATTCTTTTGTTGCTTCTTGGGCCAAATTTGTTGCCTCTTAGCTGCTGGAATTCCTCCCCTTGCTGCTGGATTGGAGTAGTGGTGATAGAGCTTGGTGGTGTAGAAGAAATGGTAGTGTAGAACTTGAAGGTTTTTTAGGAAATGAGGGGGATGGAGAGGGAGTTTTGTATTCAATCTTGAGGAGTAAATTTTCTAACCCTTGTATGCAATGTTGCCAGCTGATTATATGGACAAAAAAGGGGGAGTAAAGGAGGGGCAAAAGGTGGGGGAAAATAGGCAAGTTTTCCCCCACAAAATATCCCCCGGATTGGGATATTTTCTGGGGGAAACAGCTATACAGCTGTAAAGTGAACAGTGTGAGGATCATGGCCGGCCAGGTATTTTTGTTTCAGGTGGCCGCCCGGCCACATCCCCTAGCCGGCCGGCTAGGGGTCAAAAAGGCCAAGTGGAAATAGTGGCCGGCCACCACATATTGGTGGCCTCTCAGGTCTCCTCTTCACAACCCTGTGGTTCGAATTTGGAAATTCTAAAACAGGAGAGAGAACAAGCCACTTCTAGGGGGGTCAAAAGGGTCAGGTGACATTAGTGGCCGGCCACCAACTTTTAGGGTCCTCCCATGTGTGTACATCACAAATATGTGGTTCAAAGTTCAAGAAAAAAGGTCCAAGGGGTGCATCCAGAAAGCTAAGCCGGTTGTGCCCCGCTGTTAGGTCTACCAATTGATCTATCCGTGGTAGGGGGAAGCTGTCCTTTGGGCATGCTTTGTTGACTGTCTTATAGTCGACGCAGACATGCCATTTGCCATTCTTCTTTGGTACCACGACTGTGTTAGAAATCTATCTAGGGTAGTGCACCTCTCTAATAGCTCCTGCCTCTAGCAGATTTCCCACCTCTTCCGCCACTATCTCGGCGTAGTGGAGTGTCGATCTACGAGTGCGCTGAATGATTGGTCTGGCAGACGGGTGGACATTGAGTTGGTGACAGATGAAGTTTGGATCAATGCCTGGCATGTCGTAAGGTGTCCAGACGAACACTTCGATGTTAGAGGTCAAGAATTCCAAGACCTCTAATCTTTCAGTGCTGGACAACGACGAACTGAGCAGAAAGAACTTATCCGGGTTCTTTTCATCTATTCTTACCTCTACCAAATCTTCCACCGCTTTTTGATCAGCTGTTCTGCCGACATCTGCGAACAGTTCATTACTCTCAGGTTCTTCCACCGAATGTACATATCCCTTGGCAGCGCGGCTGCCGTTAGCCGTGGCAAAGCATTGCTTGGACATAATCTGGTTTCCAAAGACCTCTTCAATTACTCCGGTTCCGTTGGGAAACCGCATTACTTGATGGTAGGATGATGCTACTGATTTCATGGCATGGAGCCATGTTCTTCCCAAGATTATGTTGTAAGTGGAAGGGTCTTTCAATACCCAAAATTCCACTTGTTTCGTCATCGTTCCTACCTTGACCGGCAGAATTATCTTGCCCACCAGCCATTCTGGCATTGAGTTAAAGCCAACTAAGGGAGATGTTGCGGGTGCCAAGTCTCTATCCTCCAATTTTAGTTTCTTGAAGGTCTCGTAGTACATTATCTCGAAGGAGCTCCCTTCGTAACTAAGGATCCGCTTCATGTCGAAGTTCTTGACACATAAAGTAACCACCAGTGCGTCATTGTGAGGGCATTGTAACCTCGCTAAGTCCTTGTCAGGAAAAGGAGATGGCGTTTGTTGCCTCTGTTTTTCCCCTTTTGACGGTAGGTTGTGCACATAGTACCTCTCTTATGTGCTCAGCCTTTTTGATCATCCCTCTGAGTTCACATACCCGTTCAGGTTTGACGATCTCATGTATTACATTGATTACACCTTGGGGCAGACTGTCGACCGGCATCCCATCTGGCCTATTGCGGTCCTGGGGGGCTGGCTGTGTTCCCCCTTCAATATATTGGTCCAGGTGGCATGCAGCCACTAGCTCCTCCTGATGTTGCCTTAGTGGCGTACAGTTTTCAGTTCAGTGCCCCTTTTCATCATGGAAAGTGCAATGGCACCTCTCATCGTAGCCCCTCTGCGTTTCTCCCAACTTGGCTAGCCACCGAACGAAGGGTTCATCGCGTATCTCACTAAGAATCCGGTAGATAGGTTTATTGAATACTGTGGTGATGGCAGTCCAGACTCTCAACTTCCTTGCTTGGGGGTCCTCCCTGTTGGCTCGTCTGCCACGCCCATTTTTTCTTGGTTGTTCAACCGTGTTGACTTTTGCTGTAGTCTTTTTATCCGGCATCGTTGTTGTGCCAGATTTTGCTTTAGCACAGGCGCTATCTTCTTCTACCTGGATGTGCTAATATACTCTCTCCATTAGGGCCTCCATCGTGAGAGGTGGCATCATCTCCATCGTGAGGGGTGGTATCATCGTCATTGAATCCCTCAACTTGTTACTTACTGGTAAACCCCGTTTATACTGTGCGATGGTGAGGTTTGTGGAACAATCCCCAATCTAATTGAAAGTCTCCCAATATCGATTATTGTAAGACTTTAACGTTTCCTTCTCGCCCATGTCAATGGAGAGTAGCTGGTCAATCTCCACTGGTGTCTTGGTGTTTGTTCTGAATCTGGTCACAAATGCCTCTGCCAACTGCGCCTATGAAGCTATGCTACCTTTTGGTAACCTTTCAAACCATCTTAGGCCCAGGTCACCAAGGATGGAAGGAAACAAGATACACATTAGGGCCTCGTTTTGTCGATACACGGCCATAACCTGGCGAAAGTGGGTTAAGTGCATGTAAGGGTCTGACTTCCCCTCATAAGTATTGAATTTGGACTGGTGCAAGCTTGAGGGTAGCGGTGCGTTCTTAATTACCGGAATGAACGGTGAGCTCTGCAACGTTGCTAAAACTTTATCTACTAGTTCATAAGCAAGGCGCGGTATTGGCATCCCTACCTCGACACTCCCATGTGTCCTAGGAGCCAATCGTTGTAGAGTTGAAACTCTACGAGAGTCGCGAGCCTGGGTGTCCTCCTTCCATCAGGCCCTTTCCTCTAGCATTGTCCGCAGGTCTGTCGACCTAGGCAACTCCATGTGCCTAAATGTCGTTTGGTGCGTGTGCGAGGGCCGATAACTGCTTCCCTCTGTATACGACCTCTCAGTCCTCGTTCTCTCAAACCTGGAGTAACGAGTCCTAGAGGTTCGTGATTGTGTATCGCCTGTCCTTAGGCTTCTGCTTTCCGTCTGAAATTGTGTGACTTGCCTGTCACGATCTTCTAAGTGGCGAGGGTGTGCCCTGCTCTTGCCCACCTCTTCTTCCGTCGCTCCTTTGCCCTTTATCTGGCGCTTCATAGTCTCCATGTCTGCCGCCATCCTCCTTATCAATTTGTCTTGCTCGCTCACACGATCCTCCAGAACCTAAGGATCCAACCTTCGCCGCTACCTTTCAAGACTTTGGGAGTGACAAGGAATGGAGCCCCGTCTCTCCCATGTATCCCTCCGAGGGTTCCATCGCTGGGTGTCTAACTCTGCCATAGGTGGGATAAAAGGTAAGCCTTCGCGTCTCCCGCTCCCCTCCGGGGTTCGCCCATCAATAGCAGATTGCGATAAATCTTCATTGTGCGCCATTGAAATCAGTTTGAAGGAAAACTTAATCAAGAGGTTTGTTCTTTGTGATTGTACTTCCTACAAACAGTGCCAATTGTACGAGCACAAAATAATTTTCTCGTATAATCATGTTGATCAAGTTTGCACTCCTCCAAACGTCGTCGCTTTACTACATGAAAACACAAACGTAAGCTAGCCGACGGGTGTGTGCCGGAAACCTCTCCGATGCCTAAGTCAGCAAATAGATAATAGATAAAAAAGCTCTGTGTATTCTAGAGTAAAAATTGTGATACCTCTACATAAGTTCTGTCATGAGCTTTTATTGATTCCAACTGCCACAATCCTAATAGGACTCTAATTCTCCAATGTAGAGTCCTCCTAGGAATCACATTCCTAAAAGATAATGCCCATCTTTTAACACCCTCTTCACTGCAAGCCAAGTGAGATGGCACAAGTCCCTTTACCTAGGTTCGGCAGCAGCTCAACTAAGCTAGTAAGGCCTTGCCTCACACCAGATAGAACTAGAGCAATCCTTGATCGAGATAGCCACTTCGGGAAGCCCGCACCATCGCACCCCGGTCCTGTTTTGATATAACCACCTTGGTTCAAGCCTTGGGTCAAATACCCACCCAGTCCACGACCAAGCTCAATCCACTCTTATTTTCGCTCGCAGCACGGCCTAATGGCCAAGACTGAACCTAGCTCGGTCCATGCAATGGATGGCCTTAGCTCGGCCTTATTTAGACATAAATTTCCCTCTCAATTACTTTTCCTATTGCAAGTTCAGTTTTTCTACTCCAAGGCAATAGAAAAGATTTTGTACCTGGAGCAACATAGCCGATGGTTCCCCTTATTGCATTTGAATTGGTTTGACCTTGAGCCACATCACTTGAAATGGTAGAAATAATTTTTGCTAACCCGAAATCTCCAATATGAGCTGTCATCCCATCATCCAAAAGAACATTACTTGGTTTCAAATCACCATGAATAATTGTCGACTCACAACCACAATGAAGGCACTCAAGTGCAGAAGCGACATCAACCGAAATGTCCAGCCTCTTGAGTAGTTTAAAATTTCTGGGTTCTTCTAGCTGTCTGTGGTCTCCCACTCCAACTTGATGTAGGCATTTGCATAAGTTTCCATTGGCCATAAATTCATACACCAAAGCTTTGAATTCATTACCATGGAAATCCACACTAGAACAAACACTTAAAATTTTTAATAGATTTCCGTGCTTTATGGCTCTTAGTGCTTTGCATTCTATCATGAAGCTCCTAGAGGCTCCTCCAGTCTGAAGATTGAGCACTTTCACTGCCACAACCATCTGATATTGATCAAGAATCCCTTTGTAAACTGAAGCATGGCTCCCAACACCAATTGGATTAGCCTTTGAGAATCCATTGGTGGCTTTGAGAAGATTTGCATAAGAAACCCTCAAAAATTGATGCATGATTGATGGCGTGGAAGAAGCCACCTTTTTTGAAACATGATACAGTTGAAGAAATATAAAGAAGCTAACTAACAAAGATAAAAATATCACAACACCAACCACCACTAGGATCACTTTTGTCCTATGAGAGAGCTTATTCTTGCTTGAGTAGGAGGATGAACAAGGAGGAAGGTCTAATTTTGCAATACCTCCACATAGATCATTATTTCCAACAATTGAAATTGCACCTGAATTTCCAAACACTCCTTGTATGGGAACTTGTCCGTGTAGTTTATTAAAAGACAAATTCAACATATCTAGTTGAAACTCACCTAGATAACTTGGGATCAGCCCCGACAAATTGTTGTGCGAAAGATCCAATACTCTTAAGCCCCTCATCAGTTTCAAGCTTTGAGGTATCTCTCCCTCAAATGAATTAGCCTCCAAGTGAAGCCATTCCAGACTTAGAATGAACTATAGCTATACAAAGAATGCATAATTGGTACATGGAATGAAAAGACAGAAGAAAGGCAGCCCAAAAATAAGCATTTTTCCAGTACAAATCATGGCCAAACAGCAAACAAAGATAGGGCAAAACTAGCATGCAAAAATGGCCCTAAACATGAGATTATGAAGTAACTCACAGCTGCTGACTCCAAATGGGTTAGGACCCTTCAACAACATTGAAGAGGGGCCAAGAGAGGGCAATGAAACAAGTGGTATATGTAAAACCCAAACTGAAAAATTCCCTTCTACAACACTGAAAGGGACCAAAAATATGCACATTTACAGTTTATGGAAGCCCCAAAATCAGTATACAAACATGCTAGAAATGCAATGCAAAATGAGGCTCAAAAGAGGCTATAACACAAAGTATACAAAATATTCCACAAACGGCCAAAGACCCTTAATGAAACATGAAGAATGGGCCAAAATAAGACTATTTCTAGGCCTGTAAAAAGACCAAAAACAGAATCATAATAGGCTACCAAAACATGCAAGAATGGGGACCAAAAGAGAGATATAACATGAAGTGTATAAAATATACCTCAAATCATGAAAGGCCCTTAATGAAACATGAAGAATGGGCCAAAATAAGACTATTTCTAGGCCTGTAAAAAGACCAAAAACAGAATCATAATAGGCTACCAAAACATGCAAGAATGGGGACCAAAAGAGAGATATAACATGAAGTGTATAAAATATACCTCAAATCATGAAAGGCCCTTAATGAAACATGAAGAATGGGCCAAAATAAGACTATTCTTAGTGCTGTAAAATGACCAAAAACCAAAGCACAATAGGCTGCCAAGACATGCAAAAATGGGACCAAAAGGAGAGTATAAAGGAAAGTATAGCAAGGAGGTCCCAAACAGTGTTGAGCCCTTCTTCAATGTTGAAGAGGGGCTCAAAATAAGCCTATTTACAGTTTACATCATGCTCCAAAACAGATCACACACAAGCTAAAAATACTACGCAAGAAAACGGTATTTAAGAAGGGTATTGAAGCAAGTGCAATATGGGGGGCTCAAACAGTGTTGAGCCCTTAAGAAAAAGTGAAAATGAGCTCAAAAGAAGGCCACTTTCAGTTATGGCCGGAGCTCAAAGAAAAAAGCATATATGGCTAAGGAATGTTGCAAGAATGAGCTCAAAAAGGGGGAAATGGCAACTCACCCTTGGAGACAAGTCTTTGGTTGCTTCTTGGACCAAGTTGCAGCACCTTTAGCCTCTGAGAAGCCCTCCTTGTTTCTGGAAATGGAGTGGTGGTGGTGGTGCTTGGTGGTGATGAAGGAATGAGATGTAGAACTTGGATGTTTTGAGAAAATGAGAGAGATAGAGAGGGGAAGCAATGCAAGACTTGGAGACAATTTTTTTCTAACCCCTTCTACAAAGGCTTGCAGCTGGTTATAAGGAACAAAAAGAGGGTGTAAAGGTGGGGAAAAGGTGGGGGAAAAGGAGGCAAGCTTTCCCCCACAAAATATCCCCCGGATACAGATATTTTCTGGGGGATAAAGCTATACAGCTGTAAAGTGAACAGTGTGAGGATCATGGCCGGCCAGGTATTTTTGTTGCAGGTGGCCGGCCGGCCACACCCCCTAGCCGGCCGGCTAGGGGTCAAAAGGGTCAAGTTGGTTTAGTGGCCGGCCACCACATAATGGTGTCCTCCTATGTGCCCTCAACACAACCCTATGGTTAAAAGTCCAAGAAAGTGGCTCGAGGGTGTTCAACATTGGCTTGGAAGGAGGGGTTCAAAAGGGTCAAGCAACATTAGTGGCCGGCCATCAGCTTTTAGGGTCCTCCCATGTATGTACAACACAAATATGTGGTTCAAAGTTCAAGAAAAAGGGCCCAGGTTGTTCAACATTGGCTCGGAAGGAGGGGTTCAAAAAGGTCAAGAAACATTAGTGGCCGGCCACCAACTTTTAGGGTCCTCCCATGTGTGTACATCACAAGTATGTGGTTCAAAGTTCAAGAAAGTGGCCCCAAGTTGTTCAACATTAGCCCGGAAGTGTGAAAAACGAGCATCGGAGGGCGTCGGGGGATATATAACTGGTTGCTGCAACAATTACAGGCCTCCCACCCTTCTACGGCCTTCCCAGTGATAAAACAGAGGTACCTGCCAAAAATGAACGAAAACCGTTGCAAAACGAATGTTCGGGGGCCAAAACACGCAGTTCGGGGTCCCGAAAATGGGCTGCCAAGCACCGAAAGTGGCGTTCGGCCACGAAGTGGGTTTCTCAGACCCCAGTGTCCCTTGAAAGGGAGAAAATAAGATGTATGCCAAAATTTAGAGCAAACGGAGATGGTTAAGCGGTCCCGAACCGAGGCACACGGCCTGACAGCTCCGAAAACCGGGAACCGGGCCCCGAAATGGGCAAAATGGCCTACGGCCACCAAATGTAGCCCACGGCCACTGAGAGATGGTCTACGGGACCTCTCCCTCCCATCAGGAAAAGAAACAAAGAAAACCGATCCAGGTTCGCAAACCGAGGCAAAGCACAAAAGGGGGTTCGGAAGTCCGGAGGCAAGGCTCACGGCCGCAACTCTGAAACTTCTGAACGAGCACATTATGCAACATCACCAAGCGCTCAATCAGTGACGTCTGAGTCTTAAGGTCGGTCAAAAATGGGGTGTCTACAGCTGGACAAAGACGAGCCAAGCAAAAATAACTTTTCTGGGTTCTTTTCATCTATTCTTACCTCTACCAAGTCTTCTACTGCCTTCTGTTCGGCTGCTTTGCCAACATCTGCAAATAGCTTGTTGCTTTCTGGCTCTTCTACCATTTGTACAAACCCATTTGCAGCCCGACTACCGTTTACTGTGACGAAGCACTATTTCGACATGATTTGGTCCCCTAAGACTTCTTCAATCACCCCAGTTTTGTTAGAGAGCCGTAACACCTGATGGTAGGTTGATGCCATTGATTGCATGGCGTGCAACCATGCTCTTCCCAAGATTAAGTTGTAAGTAGAAGGGTCTTTCAATACCCAAAATTCCACTTGTTTCGTCATCATTCCTACCTTGACCGGCAGAATTATCTTGCCCACCAGCCATTCTGGCATTGAGTTAAAGCCAACTAAGGGAGATGTTGCGGGTGCCAAGTCTCTATCCTCCAATTTTAGTTTTTTGAAGGTCTCGTAGTACATTATCTCGAAGGAGCTCCCTTCGTAACTAAGGATCCGCTTCATGTCGAAGTTCTTGACACGTAAAGTAACCACCAGTGCGTCATTGTGAGGGCATTGTAACCTCGCTAAGTCCTTGTCAGGAAAAGGAGATGGCGTTTGTTGCCTCTGTTTTTCCCCTTTTGACGGTAGGTTGTGCACATAGTACCTCTCTTATGTGCTCAGCCTTTTTGATCATCCCTCTGAGTTCACATACCCGTTCAGGTTTGACGATCTCATGTATTACATTGATTACACCTTGGGGCAGACTGTCGACCGGCATCCCATCCGGCCTATTGCGGTCCTGGGGGGCTGGCTGTGTTCCCCCTTCAATATATTGGTCCAGGTGGCATGCGGCCACTAGCTCCTCCTGATGTTGCCTTAATGGCGTACAGTTTTCAGTTCAGTGCCCCTTTTCATCATGGAAAGTGCAATGGTACCTCTCATCGTAGCCCCTCTGCGTTTCTCCCAACTTGGCTAGCCACCGAACGAAGGGTTCATCGCGTATCTCGCTAAGAATCCGGTAGATAGGTTTATTGAATACTGTGGTGATGGCAGTCCAGACTCTCAACTTCCTTGCTTGGGGGTCCTCCCTGTTGGCTCGTCTGCCACGCCCATTTTTGCTTGGTTGTTCAACCGTGTTGACTTTTGCTGTAGTCTTTTTATCCGGCATCGTTGTTGTGCCAGATTTTGCTTTAGCACAGGCGCTATCTTCTTCTACCTGGATGTGCTAATATACTCTCTCCATTAGGGCCTCCATCGTGAGGGGTGGCATCATCTCCATCGTGAGGGGTGGTATCATCGTCATTGAATCCCTCAACTTGTTACTTACTGGTAAACCCCGTTTATACTGTGCGATGGTGAGGTTTGTGGAACAATCCCCAATCTAATTGAAAGTCTCCCAATATCGATTATTGTAAGACTTTAATGTTTCCTTCTCGCCCATGTCAATGGAGAGTAGCTGGTCAATCTCCATTGGTGTCTTGGTGTTTGTTCTGAATCTGGTCACAAATGCCTCAGTCAACTGCGCCTATGAAGCTATGCTACCTTCTGGTAACCTTTCAAACCATGTTAGGCCCAGGTCACCAAGGATGGAAGGAAACAAGATACACATTAGGGCCTCATTTTGTCGATACACGGCCATAACCTGGCGAAAGTGGGTTAAGTGCATGTAAGGGTCTGACTTCCCCTCATAAGTAGTGAATTTGGACTGGTGCAAGCCTGAGGGTAGCGGTGCGTTCTTAATTACCGGAATGAACGGTGAGCTCTGCAACGTTGCTAAAACTTTATCTACTAGTTCATAAGCAAGGCGCGGCATTGGCATCCCTACCTCGACACTCCCATGTGTCCTAGGAGCCAATCGTTGTAGAGTTGAAACTCTACGAGAGTCGCGAGCCTGGGTGTCCTCCTTCCATCAGGCCCTTTCCTCTAGCATTGTTCGCAGGTCTGTCGACCTAGGCAACTCCATGTGCCTAAATGTTGTTTGGTGCGTGTGCGAGGGCCGATAACTGCTTCCCTCCGTATACGACCTCGCAGTCCTCGTTCTCTCAAACCTGGAGTAACGAGTCCTAGAGGTTCGTGATTGTGTATCGCCTGTCCTTAGGCTTCTGCTTTCCGTTTGAAATTGTGTGACTTGCCTGTCACGATCTTCTAAGTGGCGAGGGTGTGCCCTGCTCTTGCCCACCTCTTCTTCCGCCGCTCCTTTGCCCTTTATCTGGCGCTTCATAGTCTCCATGTCTGCCGCCATCCTCCTTATCAATTTGTCTTGCTCGCTCACACGATTCTCCAGAACCTAAGGATCTAACCTTCGCCGCTGCCTTTCAAGACTTTGGGAGCGACAAGGAATGGAGCCCCGTCTCTCCCATGTATCCCTCCGAGGGTTCCATCGCTGGGTGTCTAACTCTGCCATAGGTGGGATAAAAGGTAAGCCTTCGCGTCTCCCGCTCCCCTCCGGGGTTCGCCCATCAATAGCAGATTGCGATAAATCTTCATTGTGCGCCATTGAAATCAGTTTGAAGGAAAACTTAATCAAGAGGTTTGTTCTTTGTGATTGTACTTCCTACAAACAGTGCCAATTGTACGAGCACAAAATAATTTTCTCGTATAATCATGTTGATCAAGTTTGCACTCCTCCAAACGTCGTCGCTTTACTACATGAAAACACAAACGTAAGCTAGCCGACGGGTGTGTGCCGGAAACCTCTCCGATGCCTAAGTCAGCAAATAGATAATAGATAAAAAAGCTCTGTGTATTCTAGAGTAAAAATTGTGATACCTCTACATAAGTTCTGTCATGAGCTTTTATTGATTCCAACTGCCACAATCCTAATAGGACTCTAATTCTCCAATGTAGAGTCCTCCTAGGAATCACATTCCTAAAAGATAATGCCCATCTTTTAACACCCTCTTCACTGCAAGCCAAGTGAGATGGCACAAGTCCCTTTACCTAGGTTCGGCAGCAGCTCAACTAAGCTAGTAAGGCCTTGCCTCACACCAGATAGAACTAGAGCAATCCTTGATCGAGATAGCCACTTCGGGAAGCCCGCACCATCGCACCCCGGTCCTGTTTTGATATAACCACCTTGGTTCAAGCCTTGGGTCAAATACCCACCCAGTCCACGACCAAGCTCAATCCACTCTTATTTTCGCTCGCAGCACGGCCTAATGGCCAAGACTGAACCTAGCTCGGTCCATGCAATGGATGGCCTTAGCTCGGCCTTATTTAGACATAAATTTCCCTCTCAATTACTTTTCCTATTGCAAGTTCAGTTTTTCTACTCCAAGGCAATAGAAAAGATTTTGTACCTGGAGCAACATAGCCGATGGTTCCCCTTATTGCATTTGAATTGGTTTGACCTTGAGCCACATCACTTGAAATGGTAGAAATAATTTTTGCTAACCCGAAATCTCCAATATGAGCTGTCATCCCATCATCCAAAAGAACATTACTTGGTTTCAAATCACCATGAATAATTGTCGACTCACAACCACAATGAAAGCACTCAAGTGCAGAAGCGACATCAACCGAAATGTCCAGCCTCTTGAGTAGTTTAAAATTTCTGGGTTCTTCTAGCTGTCTGTGGTCTCCCACTCCAACTTGATGTAGGCATTTGCATAAGTTTCCATTGGCCATAAATTCATACACCAAAGCTTTGAATTCATTACCATGGAAATCCACACTAGAACAAACACTTAAAATTTTTAATAGATTTCCGTGCTTTATGGCTCTTAGTGCTTTGCATTCTATCATGAAGCTCCTAGAGGCTCCTCCAGTCTGAAGATTGAGCACTTTCACTGCCACAACCATCTGATATTGATCAAGAATCCCTTTGTAAACTGAAGCATGGCTCCCAACACCAATTGGATTAGCCTTTGAGAATCCATTGGTGGCTTTGAGAAGATTTGCATAAGAAACCCTCAAAAATTGATGCATGATTGATGGCGTGGAAGAAGCCACCTTTTTTGAAACATGATACAGTTGAAGAAATATAAAGAAGCTAACTAACAAAGATAAAAATATCACAACACCAACCACCACTAGGATCACTTTTGTCCTATGAGAGAGCTTATTCTTGCTTGAGTAGGAGGATGAACAAGGAGGAAGGTCTAATTTTGCAATACCTCCACATAGATCATTATTTCCAACAATTGAAATTGCACCTGAATTTCCAAACACTCCTTGTATGGGAACTTGTCCGTGTAGTTTATTAAAAGACAAATTCAACATATCTAGTTGAAACTCACCTAGATAACTTGGGATCAGCCCCGACAAATTGTTGTGCGAAAGATCCAATACTCTTAAGCCCCTCATCAGTTTCAAGCTTTGAGGTATCTCTCCCTCAAATGAATTAGCCTCCAAGTGAAGCCATTCCAGACTAAAACAATTGCTTAGAGTGTTTGGTATGGGTCCTGATAATTTATTATAAGACACATTCATGTTTGCAAAATTTTTCAAATACCCAACTTCTGATGGTAGGGAACCAGTTAGTGCATTGTGACCTAACCAGCGGAATTTTGAAATGGACGAGAGACTCATAATTTCAGGGGGTATTGAACCATTGAGATTATTGTTGTAAAGGTGTAATTCCAACAAGTTATGACAATTGCCCAAACTCGGAGGTATGCTTCCATGGATGTCGTTTTCTCCCAAGTTGAGAGTAATCAACGAAGTCAAATTACCAATCGAAGATGGAAGTTCTGTGAACTTGTTCTGCTCTAAGAACAGAGTACACAGCTTATGAAGTCTGTCGATGGATGATGGAATAGGGCCGACAAGATTGTTCACTGCCATAGATAACTGAGTGAGGTTGAGGAGGTTCCCAATGCCTGAAGGAATGCTTCCATGTATTTGATTAAACCTCAAATCTATCTAGCTAAGATATGTGGAGAGATTAGCTATGGAGTCAGGCAATGAACCTCTAAAAAGATTGTTACCCGCATCAATCAATTGTAAACTGGTGCAATTTGTTAGAGACGAAATAAAAGTGAGGTCATCCTGCAACTGATTTTTAAAAACACCTTTCCATCGAAGACCCAGATGTTTTCGAAGATCTCTCGCCATTGTCCCGCTGAAATCATTTTCAGGGAAGTATATATCTTCAAGTTTTGAAGCGTTTGACAGTGAAGTAGGAAGTGTTCCAGTAAACAAATTTTTCGAAAAATAAACAAACTTGAGATTAGGAAGTGTGGATCCTATATCATGAGGAATATTTCCTTCAAGATGGTTAATGGCTACTGATAATGCAATGATGGAGGAGATCTTGTAAAGGCCAGATGGAACCTAGCAATTTCCCCATGAATCTCCCCATGCAAATTACATTCTGATAAATCGAGATAGGAAAGAGATGAGAGGTTTCCAATGGAAGGAGGGATGGTACGTGAAAGCTTGTTTATATTCAAGGCTAAAGTTCGAAGCCTTGACAAAGAGCCCAACTCAGCTGGGATGTTTCCAGTTAGATTGTTGTTGATGAAGTCCCGATATTCAAGTTTTGAGCAATGAGAAAGGTTGTTTGGTATTCCACTTCCGAACGAATTGTTGCTTAATTCTATTGTTTGTAGTCGAAACAAGCGACCAATCTCCTGTGGGATTGGGCCGTGGAAACTATTGTTTGGAAGAACGATACTTTTGAGGAAGGAGAGGTTTCCTATATGAGGTGAAAGCAATCCAACCAGGCCTTGGGACATTAGAGTTATCCCAATGACTCTATCAGGATGTTGGCAATGACTACACAAAATGTCGTTCCAGTGGCAGTAGTGGAGTGAATGATTCCAGGAAGAGAGGGCACCAAATGGGTCTTGAACAATTGCAGCCGAATTCCACCAATGCAACTCTATCTGTCACATTATTTGCCATAGAAGTGGCAGCAGGGATACTGCAGAAATAGCAACACCACACAAGAGCAGTGCAGAGCACAGTAAGCCACTTTGACATGTTTTTTTTTAAATGATGGATCAATTATTTTTATCAAGGTAGTATACAATATTATAATATGAAATTTCCTACAGCAATCCAACCAATGTTTTTTTTTTAAATATATATATATATTTAAGTTCAACTTAAAATGTGAACCGTTAAAAGAAAAAATTTTGTTCAGACAGATACACTGAAAGACTTGGGGGTGAAGGTTGCAAGACGGCAATATCATGGAAATAAATGTTGATGGTGCTGACCCAGAAAGTCCACTGCGTCCCTCTCTTCTAAGAAATAATTGCTAGGTATCATCATCGGGTCGGTTGCAACATTGAAAAGCAATCAATTTGAACATATTTTAAAGGACTGGCTTTCTCCAGTGCGCAATTTAGATTGGAAGTTATTGTTGACTATGAATTCTGTTCCAAAAATTCAAAATTTTAATTTTGTAAGATATTTTTTCGTATTCATGAAATATATAAAATCAATACGATTATCGTAACCTCATTATTTTATTGTGTTTATCTAACAAAAAAAAAAGATTTGTTTTCAAAAATACATTTGTCGTCCATTTTTTCTTTTTTTTTTGGAAACAAATACAATAAAATGGAGATGCTACAATTATCAAATTAATCTAATTTTTTTGATAAACAATATACATGAAGGGACCTATAACATGAACAGTTCGAATAATTAAAACAAAATCCGTTGTAAGCCCCATGGACTCAGCCAACATAGTCCAATCTAGACGTGGACTAGAGAGAAGCTCAATTCTATTTTAAAAGTTTTTAAATCAAACTTAAACAACATGCTACTTGACTCAACTTGGTTATATGATCTATAAAAAAGCATGCTACTCGTGATTAACTTGATTAAAGTTCATTTGAAATTGATTCGAAACCTAAACCAGTTAAATTTAAATATATTTTAAATCCCGTTAAGTTTTCAAATCAAACATAAATAATGTAGTACTTGATTCAATTCATCTAACCAAATCAGTTTTTCCATTTATTTAGGCAGACCGGAGGATTTAAAACTTACATGTTAATTAAAAAATGGAAATTTTATTTTGCCTCTCAAACTATACATCGATGACCAATTTAACCCCTGTACTTTTTATAATTTTAATTTTACACCTAAACTATTCAATTTTGGATCAATTTCACTTCTGCCGTTAGCTACGGTCTGTAATTAGAAGGCACTTGCAGCCATCTTCATTTGAGATTTCATTTTACCTCTCAAACTATCTCCAAAATATTAATTAGACCCCTAAACAATATGAAGTTTGGGGTGAGGGTCTAATTAATTTTTTTGAGAAGAATGATTCATGTAGCCGACCCCATTTGATGGAACTTAAGGCTTTGTTTGATTTGGTTAGTTTGGGGGCAAGATGAAATTTCAAAGAAAATTTCGATGTCATGTCAGCAATTTCTGTTTGATTATAAATGGTAGCTAACTGCAGGGGTAAAATTGATCCACAATCAAATAGTTTAGGTATAAAATTGAAATTATAAGTACATGGATTAAATTAATCATTAAAATATAATTTGGGAGGTAAAATGAAATTTTCTCAAAATCTCAACAATCTATCACCCTTCAGTTTCTCATACCATGGAAAAAATTTCAAGAATTGGATTTTTTTTGGATACATGGCTCAATTATCGTTGTAAAATTATTCATTATTGTTTAAAAATGAGTAAAAAGCCTCCAATAATTTCAACTGTTGCATCTCTATATCATTGATTTGTTTAGGAATCAACTAATTAATACTCAATCTATTATCACTTTAAATAAATTTAAAAATAATATTTTAGAAGCTAACATTATATATCATATTCCATATATCATATATCGTATATAATATAAATAGGGGCAAATTATACTTTGCACCAAATCTCACTTTAATTCTTACACATGAAATCATGACAGTTAACTCCCTACACTTCTGGTCAAATCTCACTTTGGTCCTTGCATATGAAATTGTGACAGTCAATCCCTTATTTTTTTTGGTAAAATATCACTTTAATCCCTACACATATGTCAATGTCCCATTTTTGTTACTCGATTATTTAAATCTTTAACAGAATCTAAGCATGTGATAAGAATGTGACTACGACATGATGGTAAGAAAGAAAAATCATATACATTTTCCATCAATAAACACTTTACCCCAAAATTTACATCAAAATATGATCTTATTAGGCTAAAACAAAATGCATATTGTGAACAATTTAGAAGATGAACTAGGGTTTTGCATAAATTGGAATCACGAAACTCTATTTTTTAAAGTAACACAGTCTTCTGTCTATTAATTTTTCTTTCTCTTTGATTTCTTTATCGCATTTTTTTTATTATTTCAAAAGCTCTACTTTCTTACCTTTTCATTGCAATTTTTATTATACACACACGCGCGTATTTTATTATATATAACTCTCATGTTCTTATCACATAGGACAAAGTGTATTGGTGGGAAACACGAATGATTTTCCTCTCTTACCCTCATTTTGTAGTCATATTTTCGTCACATGACTGGAAATTGTTAAAAATGAAATAACATAAGAGAGACATTGACACTTATGGAGGGACCAAAGTGGGATTTGAGTAAAAGTGCAGGGGATTGACTGTCACAATTTCATGTGCAAGGACCAAAGTGAGATTTGACCAGAAGTGTAGGGAGTTAACTGTCATGATTTCATGTGTAAGAATTAAAGTGAGATTTGGTGCAAAGTATAATTTGCCCCTATTTATATTATATACGATATATGATATATGGTATATGATATATAATGTTAGCTTCTAAAATATTATTTTTAAATTTATTTAAAGTGATAATAGATTGAGTATTAATTAGTTGATTCCTAAACAAATCAATGATATAGACATGCAACAGTTGAAATTATTGGAGGCTTTTTACTCATTTTTAAACAATAATGAATAATTTTACAACGATAATTGAGCCATGTATCCAAAAAAAATCCAATTCTTGAAATTTTTTCCATGGTATGAGAAACTGAAGGGTGATAGATTGTTGAGATTTTGAGAAAATTTCATTTTACCTCCCAAATTATATTTTAATGATTAATTTAATCCATGTACTTATAATTTCAATTTTATACCTAAACTATTTGATTGTGGATCAATTTTACCCCTGCAGTTAGCTACCATTTATAATCAAACAGAAATTGCTGACATGACATCGAAATTTTGTTTGAAATTTCATCTTGCCCCCAAACTAACCAAATCAAACAAAGCCTTAAGTTCCATCAAATGGGGTCGGCTACATGAATCCTTCTTCTCAAAAAAATTAATTAGACCCTCACCCCAAACTTCATATTGTTTAGGGGTCTAATTAATATTTTGGAGATAGTTTGAGAGGTAAAATGAAATCTCAAATGAAGATGGCTGCAAGTGCCTTCTAATTACAGACCGTAGCTAACGGTAGAAGTGAAATTGATCCAAAATTGAATAGTTTAGGTGTAAAATTAAAATTATAAAAAGTACAGGGGTTAAATTGGTCATCGATGTATAGTTTGAGAGGCAAAATAAAATTTCCATTTTTTAATTAACATGTAAGTTTTAAATCCTCCGGTCTGCCTAAATAAATGGAAAAACTGATTTGGTTAGATGAATTGAATCAAGTACTACATTATTTATGTTTGATTTGAAAACTTAACGGGATTTAAAATATATTTAAATTTAACTGGTTTAGGTTTCGAATCAATTTCAAATGAACTTTAATCAAGTTAATCACGAGTAGCATGCTTTTTTATAGATCATATAACCAAGTTGAGTCAAGTAGCATGTTGTTTAAGTTTGATTTAAAAACTTTTAAAATAGAATTGAGCTTCTCTCTAGTCCACGTCTGGATTGGACTATGTTGGCTGAGTCCATGGGGCTTACAACGGGTTTTGTTTTAATTATTCGAACTGTTCATGTTATAGGTCCCTTCATGTATATTGTTTATCAAAAAAATTAGATTAATTTGATAATTGTAGCATCTCCATTTTATTGTATTTGTTTCCAAAAAAAAAAGAAAAAATGGACGACAAATGTATTTTTGAAAACAAATCTTTTTTTTTTGTTAGATAAACGCAATAAAATAATGAGGTTACGATAATCATATTGATTTTATATATTTCATGAATACGAAAAAATATCTTACAAAATTAAAATTTTGAATTTTCGGAACAGAATTCATAGTCAACAATAACTTCCAATCTAAATTGCGCACTGGAGAAAGCCAGTCCTTTAAAATATGTTCAAATTGATTGCTTTTCAATGTTGCAACCGACCCGATGATGATACCTAGCAATTATTTCTTAGAAGAGAGGGACGCAGTGGACTTTCTGGGTCAGCACCATCAACATTTATTTCCATGATATTGCCGTCTTGCAACCTTCACCCCCAAGTCTTTCAGTGTATCTGTCTGAACAAAATTTTTTCTTTTAACGGTTCACATTTTAAGTTGAACTTAAATATATATATATATATATATATATATATAAATTTTGTATATTTTTTAATGCACCAATAAGTTTTAAAATATTTATTTTGCTCCAACATTTTTTAAGAATATCAATAGGTAAAAAAAGACTTATAGATAAATAAGTCTAATGAATAGGATATGTCCGTAAATCTCCTTGTTTTTTTTTTTTTTTGTTCGACAACAAAAAGAAAATTAGTGAAAAATAAGAATAAATAAGAGTACAAATCTCACATGGATCTCCATACCACTATCATCCCTACAATGATATCCGAATTGTTCATCTCAAAG